AAACTCAAACAAGTTATTGGTTTCAAACTTCTCTAATGAAAAAACCTTAATTTAGTTCCAAACTTTCACAACATTCATCAGCAACTAATTAATATTAAACAAAAATTTCTCCTTTATTTGAAACGAGAAGTCTTCGATTTATACAGTTTAATTAAAATTTTAATAAAGGAATCCTTTCCTTAAAAATGAAGAAATATTGTTTATATTTGGTTCATTTCATTTAGAAAATTTACGATGTTACAAAAATACTGGAATTAAAATATTTGAATAAAAGAATCTCATTATTAGATTATAGACAAAGACCTCATAAAGTAGGTATCTACTAAATTAGTTTCCAGCAATTCATCTTTATTTTACTACCTTGTTGGGTTCAATCCGACATCATTTAACTAACTATGAATTATTATCTAAATTTATGATGCATTATAACATTTGATCAGAAGATATCAGCTTTGAAACCAAGTTACAATATTCCACTCGAACGAACATGTTATGCAAGTTAAATAAAATCTAATAAAAAGGTTAAGTATGGCACAGGACTTCAGAACTAATGTAGAAGCGGAGTTCTATAAGAATATTGAAGTACTATACACTCTAAACAGTAACAAAGGCTATGAGTTCTAGCCATGAAAGTTATTAACGTGGAATTATTTTTCTCAGGATTCGTTGAAGTTTGAATGACGGTAACTTTACTCAGATTTTAATATATAATCACGGATTGAAAGTTTATTGTAAAGTTATTATGTTAAAAATTTGTAGAATAAATTATACTTATAAACTATGGACCAGTAGCAAATGGAAAATTAAATGAAAGGGAGACTTGAAATATGAAATATGTATTTAGATTTGTTAAAAAAAACTAATAATTACAAATCTGTAAACAACTTGATGAAATTCTAAAAGTTTATTTTCTATACTATGAATTCATCATGAAAGAAACCAAATGTAGTTTATTTAATTTTTTGAAAATAAAATATGTTGTCTCAAGTGAATATCATTTCTTCCCGTCTGACTCTTTATTCTTTGGGAGTAATCTTAATAACAGTTAACAATATAATAATAAACTATGTTGACAACTCTATGTGTAGGTACATACATTTTTGATAATAAACCACATATTTCTGAAATACTAAACGACTATTACACTCTTCAAGCTTCATTATCGTACAGTTTACTTTCTGTGATAATCAAAAGGATTCCATTATTTAGTTTGAACGGATGAAAACAAAAAAAAAATATATAAATCTCGATATAGAAATAAAAAAATATTTTTTCTTATTTCTGTTTTGAAATCACAAACAACAATTTTTATTTTTATTACTATGAATTAATATTACGTTAATCAAATATGAAAATATAAAATAATACTTGTAGATAAATAGAGACGTATAGATGTAATTTAAACTTTTTATCTCACACTTTCATTACACTTTTATACTAACTTGCTACCTCTGCCTCAATTTATCAAGAAGTTTCTCTTTGAGATAAAAGCTTTGTTTTTCAATGTCCTAAGAATATATTTCACTAGCTTTCCGCCCGCAGCTTCGCCGCGTGGAGTTCGGTTATATCGCGTTTCCAAGAGAACCTTTCAAAAGTCTGGGATAAAAACTATCCTATGTTCTTTCTCAAGGTCAACTCTATCTCTGTACCGAATTTCATTAAAATCAGTTCAGTGGTTTAGGCGTGAAAGCGTAGCAGACAGACAGACAGACAGACAGACAGACAGACAGAGTTACTTTCGCATTTATAATATTAGTAGGGATATTAGTAGGGATATCCTGCAACCTAGAAATTCTTGAGTGTATGAGAATGTGTAATTAATAACATCGGTAGTTAGGTTATTTGTTCCGGATAACTTGTAATATGAAATAAAAGTATCATTTTTTTCAATATTATTGATTACTAAAGGTGGGTCGAAAATTAATAGTCCGGGTGCCAGCAACAGGTATATCTACTATACATTAATGAGTATGTAATATACATTATAAAATTGAATCACAACGCCTCGTGAAAGTCAGCTAGGACTCAGTAGGGAATAAGCGGATGTATCCTCCCACGCACGAAGAAAAAATCTTACATTCAGTCGTTTCCTCAAAACTAAACATTTTTCAAATTCAGAGAGAGGGGTGATGGTGCGACGGAGATTTTTTCAGAGAGAGGGGTGACGGTGCGACGGGTTTCGGTATACCTATTTCTATGGCCTCTATCCATTGGTCAAGGAACACGCATCCGCTCAGTAGGGCTTTAAAGATAAAAACCAATAGGTATATTGGAGATTAGTGAGGAAATGAGTGTAATTTTTTTCTAAAGCCGCTCATTCCCATGCGGTTCCGCAATTCACGATCACAATGCTTTATATACTATTCTCTGATGGGTCTCATCGATTATTATCATTCGAGAAGAAATAATACACTAAATATTAACATGGCTCTTGGGCTACTCTATGGTATTTTAAAAATTAGATTATATAATTATATTTTGCTATTCCACCGTTATGGAATGTAGCTATAGGAAATATAATTCAAATACTAATTCATTTACAATTTTAAACTATTTTAGCCTATTAAATTACAGATGATTCACTTTATAATTGATATCGTTACAAAATCTCTATATATACATGTTTTATTTAAATAAATTTGAAGCATTTTCAATAAATTGAATCGAAAAACGACAAAGGAAGGGATATTTTATATAAATCTAAATTTGTAGTAAAAGAATTTCGAAATAAAATAACACAATAAAAATACACTTTTATTGAAAAGTCATGCACATCTACAATTTGTTTTCTAAGAGTAACAATGTGATATCGTGCTATTTTCAAATTATCTATCCAGTCTGCTTCATGTTTGCGTCTTAACTAAATGTGTGCAGTCAGCAGATGTTTATTTTTAAAAAATGTTTTAAAATAAAAAAATTAACAACAGATTTAAAGGACATCATTTGTAGTACAAGGATTATACTTTTATTTTCAGTACACTTATAAATTCTTATTATATGTAGATTATTTTTTTACCTTAGGATGGACCAATTTGTAATATAAATATATCACTTATTTAAAATTATACCAATGTTATATATTCATATGCATATGAAATGCTTGACATTCTCAGCCATATTCTAAAAAATAAAATTAAATCTATATTGGGAATGTAAACATGATTTATATTGGTGGACCTTTTAAAACTGTATAGTTTTTTATTGATTACATCAAAAATCATTCACCTCCATCCATTACGTTTGTATTTCAAGAATACTGTTAAATCAGAAAATGTTTCAGAACAAAGACATTTTCAATACTTATAGTATCAAAATGTTATGCTGATGTCTTTTTAACTTAAGCAATTTTACTTATAACCCTATTTTAATGCACTATTCAATCATAAAAGCAAACAAAAATCAGTTAATAGCTCAATAATATAATTCTTTATATTCAAGAAATATATTTTTTATGGTGTAATTCTATATATAAGAGTATTAAGTAATCTATTTTGTTATCATCCTGCCGACAGCACACATGACGCTCCGTTTTATTTCTATACATATACAAGGATACAAAAGAAATCATTAAATTAATATTTTCATACAAAATATAATATTACAATATAACCCTAAATGCGATGCTGGCACTTAGGTGAAACATACATAATAGCGTTACATGAATATATTATTATGATTGAGACAATTACGGCGTTTATAAAAACACATGGGTGACGATTTAAAAATCTTTAATAGTATACAAGTCAATACATTTATTATGCAATGAAATATAATCTACACATAAACCTGACAGCTAGGCCAATTGGTTTATTTCGAGTTTTAAAATTTACATTAAAAATAAACCATATTCCTAGAAATGCAATGGAAAAAGATAAAAAAGAAATGTAAAAATTTGAGCGAAAATAGTGCCAGCATCTACTATGATTAATGTAGGGTGTTACCCTGATATCGATTTTATATTTCAGTACATTTAATTATTTTGCAACACAGTGAATGTATTAAATAATGTTGAAAAGGCCTATCTTTGATATAAATTATGGTAAAAATTATTGCCACGAACTTTATAGAAAATGCTGCTTAGAAATGTAAAAAACTTACAATGTACATATATTGCAAAATAATTAATGGTTCCTTCCTTGTTTTTTTTTTTGAATACTTGTAGTAAAATCTAATATTTACAATTTATATACAGGTATAGTATCATGAGAAATTAACATCTATAGTTGAAGTTCGAAATTGCATTAGGCTTTATTTGTATTAGTTTTATAATTACTATTTCAAATTTTGTAGAAGATTGATCATTCGATTCCAAGAGAACATAATACAGTGGAATGAATGTCGTATAACATTAACATATTATTTCGATATCATGCTATTCTGTATTAGCAAATTTTTTGACATAATTTAATATGAAGATTTCTCTAATATAGTTTTGTAGACGTTCAAAGTTTTCACATATATTTTTTTACTTGGCACAGTGTTTTAATATAATTTTGTTCTTATTTTTAATTTTACAAATTGATAATGAAAACAAAAATTTAAAAATTAATGTGTCAATAAAAAAAAATATTTTTTATAATATTTGTTTTAGTCACCTACGTCAATAGTAATATTTACCAGAAAAAATGGTGTCTATAACTATTTTTATAATAAACATGCATACTAACATAGGGTAAAAAAAATACAAAATGTTGTCAGAAATAATAGCGCCAAATCTTGGAATAAACCTTAAAAATTAAATTTATAGGTTTTAAAATTAGAACCGTCTATTTAGTTATACATTTGACTAGAAAAATATTATAGAAACAATTACGTACAAAATGTAATGCTTTACATAATATTATACTAAATTCGAATTGTTCACACAACGGCTTTTGTATTAAGTCCGTATTTATGTATTAAATGAGCATATTTACAGTACTATCTCCAAATTCAGTCGCTTTATCACTTTTTTAGCGTCTAAAATGCCCTGTTTACGCGTTATCGTTCCGACGTCGTCGTCAGATATCATTTGCATCACCTACATAACCTTCATCTGGGCTTTCGGAGCACATATCTGAAGCACATTTAGCATTTGACACTTGAGGCAATGGTTTCAAGCCATTTTCAGTCCCTTCTGTTGGATTTCTAGCATCTGTTGTTTGAGTATCGACACACCTGGTTTCAACTTGGTAGCACCGACCTGCCCCTTCAGGCATTCCCATAGGGACCATTACTGCACAAGTACCTTTTGGGTTCCAAGTTGAACATGGTTCTGTTGGTACACAGCATTGTATTGGTTCAGTTTTATAACCTTCCGGTGGGGAAGGTACAAATTCTTCGTTATAATACACTGTTCCCGTTCCTACAAAAGCAATTTGTCGATTTCGTGGCACAGGATACCCTTCCAGGGTACGTCGTACGTTAGTGGCGTTAAAAGGTTCAAAATTTTGACAAGTTGGTGGTGGTGTAGCATTAAATTCTGTATCTTTTGCAAATTTGCATACTAATTTTTGTCCTTTAGGCCTATTATGTGGTAATGTTTGATAAAATGGTCCAACTACGGAGTAATTTGACATCATAGGTGGACGACATGGATGTTTTGGAAGGCCAAAGTCGTAAGGGTAGCCTTCGCTGTCTAAGAAGCAACCAGGATTAAGATGTACATCGGCGGAATGTTGATACAGAGCGTTAGGAGGCATACTCAGAGGAGGCATGCTATTCAAATTTTGCTGATCTTGCCACGTAACTTGACGAGGTACTGTTGATGTAGTAAATGTAGTCTCCTCTTCTAAAATATCATTAGTACTTTGCGTTTTGTAAACGGAAAGTACCGTATTCTCATTTTGTGCGTTGTTAGCGACAGTTTCCGCGTCACTAATTAAGTCGGGATTTCTGTCGACAAAGCCTTTCATATTATTGCTTTGGTATGTATTGCTTGACTCGTAATCCCTATTCGTCTGCACAGTATAATGCAAAGCATGATGAGAATGGGCGTTTACTATCAAACTTCCGTTATTTTTTGGCAAAGATCCGTTACTGCGAGTCGATGGTAAAATTTGATTGGAAAGTGCCACATCTTTCCCACTTTCTTTTTTCTTGCGACTTTTGGTATCAGTTTTAAACTTCAATAATACCACTGCTATTATAGCAATCAACAAAACAAATATAAGAAAAATTATAGTTATTATGACTACTACATGTCTGTGGGGAAATGTTACCACGATGACAACAGGTTCTTCTTTAATCAAAATATTTATAGTATAATTGGAATGAATTCGTCCTGCAGAGTTTTCCGCTAAACATGAATATGTACCATTGTCATCATTTCCAATATTTATTATAAATAGCTCACTCTTTTTATCTATCACGCCACTTTCTATATAAAAGACGTGATGAGGTTCAATGGCAGATGTTGAATAGTTTCGAATAAGTTGTCCCTGAAAATACCATTGTATTTTAGCTTCTGGTATGGCTTTGACAATACACTCTAAAGTTATATTATTTCCAATTGTAGTTTCTAAGTACAGTGATGTAGGTGTTATTTTTGGTAAGCATGCCAAATCGAATTCATTTACGCTCGTAATAGTCCGTTTTTTCAGTCGCTCAGGTAGCGAACAGACGGGTTCGACAGCGTGTGGCATATTGAAATTCAACAGCCAATTATGTAAATCTCTCAAATTACAATCACAATTCCAATTATTATTTTCAAGATCTATTATATAATTATATTTTGCTATTCCACCGTTATGGAATGTAGCTATAGGAAATATAATTCAAATACTAATTCATTTACAATTTTAAACTATTTTAGCCTATTAAATTACAGATGATTCACTTTATAATTGATATCGTTACAAAATCTCTATATATACATGTTTTATTTAAATAAATTTGAAGCATTTTCAATAAATTGAATCGAAAAACGACAAAGGAAGGGATATTTTATATAAATCTAAATTTGTAGTAAAAGAATTTCGAAATAAAATAACACAATAAAAATACACTTTTATTGAAAAGTCATGCACATCTACAATTTGTTTTCTAAGAGTAACAATGTGATATCGTGCTATTTTCAAATTATCTATCCAGTCTGCTTCATGTTTGCGTCTTAACTAAATGTGTGCAGTCAGCAGATGTTTATTTTTAAAAAATGTTTTAAAATAAAAAAATTAACAACAGATTTAAAGGACATCATTTGTAGTACAAGGATTATACTTTTATTTTCAGTACACTTATAAATTCTTATTATATGTAGATTATTTTTTTACCTTAGGATGGACCAATTTGTAATATAAATATATCACTTATTTAAAATTATACCAATGTTATATATTCATATGCATATGAAATGCTTGACATTCTCAGCCATATTCTAAAAAATAAAATTAAATCTATATTGGGAATGTAAACATGATTTATATTGGTGGACCTTTTAAAACTGTATAGTTTTTTATTGATTACATCAAAAATCATTCACCTCCATCCATTACGTTTGTATTTCAAGAATACTGTTAAATCAGAAAATGTTTCAGAACAAAGACATTTTCAATACTTATAGTATCAAAATGTTATGCTGATGTCTTTTTAACTTAAGCAATTTTACTTATAACCCTATTTTAATGCACTATTCAATCATAAAAGCAAACAAAAATCAGTTAATAGCTCAATAATATAATTCTTTATATTCAAGAAATATATTTTTTATGGTGTAATTCTATATATAAGAGTATTAAGTAATCTATTTTGTTATCATCCTGCCGACAGCACACATGACGCTCCGTTTTATTTCTATACATATACAAGGATACAAAAGAAATCATTAAATTAATATTTTCATACAAAATATAATATTACAATATAACCCTAAATGCGATGCTGGCACTTAGGTGAAACATACATAATAGCGTTACATGAATATATTATTATGATTGAGACAATTACGGCGTTTATAAAAGACATGGGTGACGATTTAAAAATCTTTAATAGTATACAAGTCAATACATTTATTATGCAATGAAATATAATCTACACATAAACCTGACAGCTAGGCCAATTGGTTTATTTCGAGTTTTAAAATTTACATTAAAAATAAACCATATTCCTAGAAATGCAATGGAAAAAGATAAAAAAGAAATGTAAAAATTTGAGCGAAAATAGTGCCAGCATCTACTATGATTAATGTAGGGTGTTACCCTGATATCGATTTTATATTTCAGTACATTTAATTATTTTGCAACACAGTGAATGTATTAAATAATGTTGAAAAGGCCTATCTTTGATATAAATTATGGTAAAAATTATTGCCACGAACTTTATAGAAAATGCTGCTTAGAAATGTAAAAAACTTACAATGTACATATATTGCAAAATAATTAATGGTTCCTTCCTTGTTTTTTTTTTGAATACTTGTAGTAAAATCTAATATTTACAATTTATATACAGGTATAGTATCATGAGAAATTAACATCTATAGTTGAAGTTCGAAATTGCATTAGGCTTTATTTGTATTAGTTTTATAATTACTATTTCAAATTTTGTAGAAGATTGATCATTCGATTCCAAGAGAACATAATACAGTGGAATGAATGTCGTATAACATTAACATATTATTTCGATATCATGCTATTCTGTATTAGCAAATTTTTTGACATAATTTAATATGAAGATTTCTCTAATATAGTTTTGTAGACGTTCAAAGTTTTCACATATATTTTTTTACTTGGCACAGTGTTTTAATATAATTTTGTTCTTATTTTTAATTTTACAAATTGATAATGAAAACAAAAATTTAAAAATTAATGTGTCAATAAAAAAAAATATTTTTTTTATAATATTTGTTTTAGTCACCTACGTCAATAGTAATATTTACCAGAAAAAATGGTGTCTATAACTATTTTTATAATAAACATGCATACTAACATAGGGTAAAAAAAATACAAAATGTTGTCAGAAATAATAGCGCCAAATCTTGGAATAAACCTTAAAAATTAAATTTATAGGTTTTAAAATTAGAACCGTCTATTTAGTTATACATTTGACTAGAAAAATATTATAGAAACAATTACGTACAAAATGTAATGCTTTACATAATATTATACTAAATTCGAATTGTTCACACAACGGCTTTTGTATTAAGTCCGTATTTATGTATTAAATGAGCATATTTACAGTACTATCTCCAAATTCAGTCGCTTTATCACTTTTTTAGCGTCTAAAATGCCCTGTTTACGCGTTATCGTTCCGACGTCGTCGTCAGATATCATTTGCATCACCTACATAACCTTCATCTGGGCTTTCGGAGCACATATCTGAAGCACATTTAGCATTTGACACTTGAGGCAATGGTTTCAAGCCATTTTCAGTCCCTTCTGTTGGATTTCTAGCATCTGTTGTTTGAGTATCGACACACCTGGTTTCAACTTGGTAGCACCGACCTGCCCCTTCAGGCATTCCCATAGGGACCATTACTGCACAAGTACCTTTTGGGTTCCAAGTTGAACATGGTTCTGTTGGTACACAGCATTGTATTGGTTCAGTTTTATAACCTTCCGGTGGGGAAGGTACAAATTCTTCGTTATAATACACTGTTCCCGTTCCTACAAAAGCAATTTGTCGATTTCGTGGCACAGGATACCCTTCCAGGGTACGTCGTACGTTAGTGGCGTTAAAAGGTTCAAAATTTTGACAAGTTGGTGGTGGTGTAGCATTAAATTCTGTATCTTTTGCAAATTTGCATACTAATTTTTGTCCTTTAGGCCTATTATGTGGTAATGTTTGATAAAATGGTCCAACTACGGAGTAATTTGACATCATAGGTGGACGACATGGATGTTTTGGAAGGCCAAAGTCGTAAGGGTAGCCTTCGCTGTCTAAGAAGCAACCAGGATTAAGATGTACATCGGCGGAATGTTGATACAGAGCGTTAGGAGGCATACTCAGAGGAGGCATGCTATTCAAATTTTGCTGATCTTGCCACGTAACTTGACGAGGTACTGTTGATGTAGTAAATGTAGTCTCCTCTTCTAAAATATCATTAGTACTTTGCGTTTTGTAAACGGAAAGTACCGTATTCTCATTTTGTGCGTTGTTAGCGACAGTTTCCGCGTCACTAATTAAGTCGGGATTTCTGTCGACAAAGCCTTTCATATTATTGCTTTGGTATGTATTGCTTGACTCGTAATCCCTATTCGTCTGCACAGTATAATGCAAAGCATGATGAGAATGGGCGTTTACTATCAAACTTCCGTTATTTTTTGGCAAAGATCCGTTACTGCGAGTCGATGGTAAAATTTGATTGGAAAGTGCCACATCTTTCCCACTTTCTTTTTTCTTGCGACTTTTGGTATCAGTTTTTAAACTTCAATAATACCACTGCTATTATAGCAATCAACAAAACAAATATAAGAAAAATTATAGTTATTATGACTACTACATGTCTGTGGGGAAATGTTACCACGATGACAACAGGTTCTTCTTTAATCAAAATATTTATAGTATAATTGGAATGAATTCGTCCTGCAGAGTTTTCCGCTAAACATGAATATGTACCATTGTCATCATTTCCAATATTTATTATAAATAGCTCACTCTTTTTATCTATCACGCCACTTTCTATATAAAAGACGTGATGAGGTTCAATGGCAGATGTTGAATAGTTTCGAATAAGTTGTCCCTGAAAATACCATTGTATTTTAGCTTCTGGTATGGCTTTGACAATACACTCTAAAGTTATATTATTTCCAATTGTAGTTTCTAAGTACAGTGATGTAGGTGTTATTTTTGGTAAGCATGCCAAATCGAATTCATTTACGCTCGTAATAGTCCGTTTTTTCAGTCGCTCAGGTAGCGAACAGACGGGTTCGACAGCGTGTGGCATATTGAAATTCAACAGCCAATTATGTAAATCTCTCAAATTACAATCACAATTCCAATTATTATTTTCAAGATCTATTCCACGAAGCGTGTCCGGAAATAAATTTTCGCCTTGAATGTTTGATAATCTATTACCGTTCAGTCTCAGCCATTCTAAATGTTTCAAACCGGCAAAGGCCTGTGGCTCAATTGTCTCAACTTTGCAGTTGCTTAATTCTAATGTGTTCAAATAGGATAGATGCTGGAAACATTGTGTTTTAATACTGGTAATAGGATTATTATTTAATGAGAGTCTCATTAACGATGGGAAAAAAATGAAATTGCTCGATGGAATTACAGTAATGTAATTATTGGATAGATCCAGTTCGACTAGATTTGCCAAACCCCTAAAGGCGTGGTTATCGATTTTCTGTAAACGACATCTCTGAAGATAAATTTTCTGTAAGTCCAACAGTCCAAGTTTATGAAATGTTTCCTTTTGTAGTACTTGTAAATCATTTCCTGTAAAATCTAATACCTGTGTCTCGGAGTCTAGAGAGTTTGGTATGCCTTTCAAGTCTTTGTCAGTACACTCAACGTAACGCTTACCATTTTTCCATTTACATACGCACTGAGTAGGGCAAGCAATTGCCGGGAGCAGGATGCAAGTAGTACATAAGGCTATTAGCCTAACATCTAGACTCCGTTTGACTTTCATTTTGCCTTAAGGCATTCGAACATCGGTGAAGGTGACAAGCATTATCTGTAACAAAAGAAAATCGATGTTGAATTATTGTCGTTCTTTAACTAATTTCTCAGTTGATAGTATGTAGTAAAAGTTCTTAAATAAAGACTATATAGATTTTTAAGTAGAATTATCCATACATAATATCATTTTTACTTAAAATAAATATATAAGTTAAAGACAGTCCACACTTTTGCGTTAGACATTTTTGTTTTTTTTTTTTCAAAATTATATTTTTATGCCGAATAAAGAAATCTGAAAACATTAAAATACTTAAGACTTATCTAAAATAAACAAAATTCCAAATTAAAACTCATGAGTAAATAAGGTTGTTTATTTCGAATTTGCCTTCACGTTTAGAGTGTGTCGGTGATGGGTTGTCATTTCCATGTTTTATACAGACCTTAAAACATTTCAAAATTACCTTATTGCATCATTAAAACAATCTTTTATAAATAAAGTAAGCTACACGTTCGAGATTATCATTATGTTTATAATAATAAGATAAGTTTTTGATAGCCGCGATAGAAGTCAAGTTTTTATTGTACATATAAGTGGCCATAAAAAGAGTAAACTTTATTATATGCTTTTACGTATTCATTGTTTTGTTTCAGATGTCAAAAGACACTATAGTTGTTTGATGTTTTAGTAACTTTTATGGCCCCAAACAAAAATCATATTGTTTTGGCAAAATTCAACATTATTTTGTATCTGAATGTATTTTATCGAAGGAAAATCTGCATTCAGTTCCCAGTTGGCTAGTTTTTTCACCGACATCTTCCAAAAGCTTATATTATGTATGCAATGCATTATTTATATCGGTCGACCCATTTCTTTCTATGTTAGTTGGTTTCTTATTTGTTGTTTTCTGAGCTATTGTTTTGTGAAAGCCGTATCAGATACGTTGAGGTAGTATTTTTAGTTCATTTCCTGTTAGTTATTGTAAAAACAATGAGTTTTTTTTATTTGATATAATATTTATCCTTTTTTTAAATCAGTATCTTGGTCAAAAACTTTAACCATACTCATATGATTATATCTATTGTATATAAGAAATTAAAATATATGTTAAAAACTTTCTTATATAACAAAGTATTTTAAGAAACAATATACACATATATACAATATATATATGTATATACAAGACAGCAGAATAGTTATAAGAATATGTACAAGTATGTATATTATATAACGGAGATTACATAAAATATATTACATTTAACAACACCAAATATATTCGATAATACGAAACGAAAGCATAAAATAAAGTTGGCCAGCAATTCGGCTTGATTCGGGACATAAAACGATCCTTCTTTGACAGCGCTCCGCAACCTTCAATTCATCTCTTAGATAATGTCGAAGTTGAACCCTCCAAAATATTTCATTCGATATATTTGTATGTGTGTATAAATTGGTATAAAAATTTCGATATTTAGCTATGCATGATATTGTACTTTACAAAACTGATCCTGAAAATATTATCCCAAAAATTCACATACTTTTATTTATACAAAACTTCAAAATTGTTAAACATATGTAATGCACCAATTTAAATATAAAGTTATCAATAAAAACATACGTCTATTTAATTTTAAGCATATTTAATTTCCTCAAACATTTTTTATGGAAAATACATTTGTTAAAAATTTTACGTCTTGATATTTCTATTTATTGTAAGAACTACGATACTTTAACTGAATTATTAATTTAGAATACCAATTAAGTCTAGTGTAAACCAAAAATTAAAAATAATAAAAAAAATTATGCATCTGCTTTATTAACATTTCGGACAGTATTGGAATATATTAACATACTGTTTATGAAATGATGAGTTCCTCACTGAATTATATAACGGACTTTATGACTTTAGATGAACTAAGATTTAAAGTAACGTTGTAAGTTAAAATATAATTAAAAAACAACATCCTTATATTTAATTATCTCCTTCTTCTTCCTGGCAATTTCTCAGCGATAGCCAGGGTCTGCCTTATAGCCAGAGTCTGCCTTTCCTTATATTTAATTATGAGAACCTAAAAATCGAGATAAACATTCTAATAATGTTATAATATTTTATGCATACTCGCAAATATCATTAAATATTTGGGTACAACTTATAATCACTTCTAATTAAACCATTCAAGCTATGTATCCTTTATTTAGATGTTGCCTGTAACAATAGTATCGTAGACAATCCCAGAGGCATGTGTCGCGACGCTTGGAATATTTAATGTGGCTGAATAATTCAGAGTAAATAAATTGTCTAATATAACTTATATATTAACATGTTTAATGTAAATAAATTTATTTATGACTTTGATCAAAACAAGCATTATAAGTGAGACGTATTTGTGTGTAAAATTTAATGTTGTAAATGAATTCACTCTTTCGTAAATCATTTGTTTTTAAACGAAGTATAATTAAAATTACCACAGGTTTTGGTAGACACAAAATTTGATATATTTTAGACCTTAACTCCATACTAATAAGATATCTGTTGAAGTTATTTGATCTTTACGCAACGCAACTGATATGAAGGAATATGATTTCAGTAATAAGCTTCACTACAATAATATAATAATACACATCATCTTACTAACTTTTATTGGCGTTAACAAATATAATTAAAATAACTAACAAGTTTGAAATTTGTAAGTGAGTCATATTTCAATAAAACTCAGCACTATTCAGTCCAAACGTACTTAGAAAATTCTATTTTAAATGTAATAAAAATAAAAAATAATTGAATATGTACTCGTTTTTATCAAATTAGATTAAGACCGCGATTATTCAGAGCAAATGTAATAAGCCTATTAATTAATTGTTAATGTCATTAGTATCAGCGACAGGCCGTATTAATTGAATGATTTTGTCCCAAGTAAAACTGCTAAAAAGATTAATGATATTGATATATTCGTCAAGCCATGTATTAATCAATGTCTTACTTATTGCTTTGATTGGCTTAAAATATTCTAAATGATCGTATGCGTCACTAAAAAAATGTAGATGTGATGCCTAATGTTTCAGGACACATTGAGTGACAACAATAAAAAAATTCTTGCGTTTTGTTCCCGTTTAGTAGAAGGTTGTATCTCGATCATGTTTTATTACATCATGTTAGTGATTTATCTTACTTTTTTTTACTTCTTATATTAAAAACTTTCGTAATTGCTTAATTTGTATCATCCATTCATTATTTAAAGTATGTCAAAAATATGCATATTATAGACAGAAGGTCTGAATAATATTGATCTAAACTACTTTCAAATTGCCATACAATATAAGTGACAATGACGATATTCAAAACAAAAGTAGAAAGTGTTTTTATTGTAAAAAAATATGGAATGAAACCACCGTACCTTAGAAGCCCTCTAACAATATCCAAACATGTGGGAAGGCGGGCCCTAGACAATTGCTGCGAGGGTTTTTAAATTTTTAATAGGTGGGACTGCGCTCTATTACTCGCTTGCAGATGTCTCCCTTGCATTTGTTTGTTTAAGCCCTGAATGATGAACAAAAGGAACCGACTGAAGTAAAATAATTTATAGCTGGTACTTTCAAGTTAACTTTAAGTTCAAAAAAATGATATTTTCTTATCTGAACTTTATGAATACATTGAACAATACGAAACTTATAAAAGTATTTTATAAAAGCATGATCGCCGGTAAAGCCCGCGAAGTTGCTCCAGACGAAATACGAGTCGTGCAAAAGTCAAAGAGAAAATTTCAAATTCCACGCCCGTACTTTAGACGCTGGGTCATAAATATACAAATGAAAATAAACAAGATACGGTGGCAACCACACAAGAAAATGTGTTTGGCGTTGTTTCACACATACATTGAGTCCACATTGGTCTGTTATCAAGTAATATATTCTTGTGAGCTCTATAACCTATTTTATCATAATCTTATACATATATTATGTAGAAGTATTGAATTTTCCATTTATCATATATGTATATTTAAGTTGTTCTCATAAGTAATTTAGGTGTATTAAATTTTATTCATATTATCATGTTTATTAAATATAATTTTTCACATAGAAATATGAAAGCGAAGGACGTCGGTCGCCAATCACAAGTTATCTAAAGCCCCTGTGAACGTAAATGGAATCGATGAAATCGAGTCCAAATGTCAAAGCGTACGATCAACTGCAGCGCTTTTGATGTGATTCCTATTTCTCTATGTATAAAATACCCGATGTCTTTGATGTTAGACAAGGAATGAATATAAATATGTAAGCCATACATATAATATTTAAAGGGTGCTCCATTTTTGAGTTTCAAAAGGATGACTAAATAAATTCAATCTTAATATTAAATGACGTAATAATATGGGAATTGTAATAAAAATTGGCACCGTACATCGAATGCGATGTCAGTTCCAACCCTAGTAACTTAAGTTGAGACCGGGGCCTTGCGTGATCTGAAATCTGAGAGGGAAAAGCGAGTTTTAATCTCTAAGTTTCGTCATACCTATCTCCCCAAGTTTTTGACAAAATCGATTAATCTGAGGGGTTCTTCAACAAGAAATGTTCGGGACGCAATCATGTTCGTGAAATAAAATACATAAATGTTTTGTGTAAAATTTACGTATTTCTTTCAATATATAAGTTATAATTAAAATTTTTTTGTTATATATAACTTGTTTCTTAAAGTCTTAATACCATAGTAAAGCGAAATAATATTAGGAATGAAATTCCATAACAAAGCAGATGTGACACACGATGGAACATTATCTCAACCAATAGAGCAATGTTCTGCCCATTGTTTAATAAGTACGATAATTAATTATTTTTCTTTATAACTGTAAATTTTCCGTAATTTTAGGCTTAGGCTAAAGTTCATTTCTTTTAAGCAACATACAAGTTTTATAAGTGCTGAAATGTTTTGTGTTAACAAAAAGAAGGAATAAAACAAATAACAGTATAAGTAGTCATAAGTAACTTTTTAGACGTTTTATCGAACCAAACAATTT